CACTCTATTTGAATCCTGTTGCACAGCGTATGAACCGCTTGCCAAGCTTGGTGAAAAGTCTGAGCCTGGCGAGTATGCGATGACGACGGTGGTGATGCTGATACGGATGATGCGGATGAGGAATCTGATGATGCTGTTGTTGATGATGATAGTGATGCTGATGCTGCTGCTGCTGCTGATGATGATGATGATGATGCTGATGAGGACGGTGATGAGGATGATGAGGATGAGGACGGGGATGAGGATGAGGATGAGGATGAGGATGATGACGACGACGATGACAATGACAATGACGATGACGATGATGATGAGGATGATGATGATGATCATGATGAGGATGCCGATGATGATGATGATGATGATGCTGATGCTGATGCTGATGCTGATGCTGATGCTGATGATGATGATGATGATGATGATGACGATGATGATGATGATGATGATGATGAGCATGATGGTGGTGGTGATGACGACGAGGACGAGTTAGTGAGTAGGATGTTTTTAAAAAGAAGGATGGGTGCTTAAGAGGAGGAGGAGAAGGAGGATGAGGAGGAGGAGGACGACGACGAGGATCGTGAAGATGAGGAGGACGACGACGAGGACGGTGAGGAGGAGGACGACGACGAGGATGGACGAGCAGCATCATCGCGCAAGGCTCAGCGCGGTGTGTAGGCTTCTTGGCGCGTGCGCGTCTGGTGAGCGATCATTGCGCTTAGGAGAGTGCTGTGCAGCAGGAGGAGAGGGCAGCAAGAGACCACCCTGACAGTGCTGCCACGTGCTCGCGTGTCCTTCCTTGTTGGCACTTCCATGCCACCGGGTGGAGGCGGATACTGTACGGTCGCATGACGCTCCGCTGGTTCTGGCCCATCATGCTTCTGCGCGGCACGCTGACCACCCACCTCCCAGCCACCAGGCTTCCACGTCCCGAGCCTCCCCGAGGCTCCCGCCCCGCGGAGGGCAGCGACATGCCATCGTGTCGCAATGGACGGCGTGCCGCCAGGGTCGCCGCGGCGACACGCTGTGCAAACGTTCCCTACTCTGCATTCCTGGTGCAGTGGTTACCCGAAGAGGGCCTTCTGCGTAAACAGAACTTTCGACGTTCCTCGCGGAGTTCTTGTGTCTGCGCTGGCCCCCCCCTGGCGGCGCCTCCGGGTCAGACTCTGGCGCGCCCCGCGTGCCAGGGAGGGGTGTCCCGCGCAGATCCAGGAAATCCGCGCGGATCGTCGGAAGGTTATGTTCATGTTGTTGTTCTTCCTCTAGTTTCGGCCACGCGCGGGGAGGGGGAGGGGGGATGGAAGCACGTCTGCTTCTCATCAGGCCGTGGCCTCATCTGTAGATGTGAGGCCGGCACCTGCCATGAGGCAGGCTTCTTCCAAGAAGCCTCCCCCCCTCTCTCCACCCCCTTGTCCCCGCGGCAAGTCGTTACGAGGGATGGCTCTTCGCGGGTCTTGCAGAACTCATAGGTCTCAAGGCAGCGACGCGAAGCCGCGGCGCCTGGTGGGCCGACGTCGGACGCGCGCGCGCGCGCCGCCGCTGTCCGGGCCGCGGCGAGCGGGCGGCGGCGGTCGGGGGAGTCTCGCGGGGCTGGCAGGCCGCGCGGCGCGGGGGCGGCGGGCGGCGGGGGTTCGGAGGCGTGGGGGGGGCAGGCTTAGGGGCCAGAGGAGGAGGAGGAGGAGGAGGAGGAGGAGGAGGAGGAGGAGGAGGAGGAGGCGGAGGAGGCGGAGGAGGCGGAGGAGGAGTGGGGGGCGGGGGCAGCGTTCCGTCTTCGCAGTCTGGGTTCTCGAGGACTTCGGGCACGTTCTCGCCGGTCCCCTCGGCTCCCCGGCCTCGGATGGGCGGCCTTTGGGGGATTGTCGGGATCCTCCAGGACGGCCGCCGGAGAACCGAGGTGTACAGTCGGGGCGCTGAAGAAGGAACCCTTCTCGTTGGGGAGGGGCTCCGTGTTCCTTCATTGTTTTGCAGCTTGCCTGAGGTTTTCATTAGGTCTTCGATGGGAAGTCAAAGTTCGACTTATGGGAAAATGGGGGCCCGTTCCTTATTTAGGGTTCCTTAGGTCAACGCCTCGACTGTATGACCCGAGCGCCATCAGGGTTCGGGCAAGGAATCTTGTAGTGAATGCGTCGTGGCCGGCGCTTTCTGGCCACACCGCTCGGGAAACGCTATGCCACAAGACGTGTTCGGGTCGGATGCTCGCCTCCGAGGGGGACATACTCGAGGCGGTAATTTATACATGACCACCGCCCGGAGGATCAATTTTCGGGGACCTCGGCATGCGGTGGATAATATGGACATGTTCGGGCCCCCGGGGGCCTAATTATATCCGTATCCACCGCCCGCTGGGGCACCACAGGACGTCGGCGTCCAGGCGGCGCATATGGATAAATCCCCGCCTCGCAAAACAGTACCAGTACGTCTTCGTGCGTCCCAATCCCCCCCCCCCCCCCCGCCGGGCAACGACCGTCTTGCGGAAGAGGAAAAAACCACGGCCGCCGGCGCTGGCGGCGCCCCTATGGGGGGCGAGCTCCGCGCGCGGCCCTGGTCTCCGCCGGGGGGAAGAGGGGGGGGGGCATCCAGCGCGGATCCGGGAGACCCGCGCGGGCCTCCACCGTCTCTTTCTTGTTGGTGTGTGTTGTGTGTGTGTGTGCGTGTGTGTGTGGTGTGTGTGTGTGTGCGTGTGTGTGTGTGTGTGCGTGTGTGTGTGCGTGCGTGCGTGTGTGTGGTGTGTGTGTGTGTGGTGTGTGTGTGTGTGTGTTCCTTGTCGTGTGGGGGGCATGGGCGTCGAGGGCCGACACGTCGGTCCCCGCCCCCCCCCCCCTCTCTCTCCTCTCCCCGTCCTTCCTCGGCCCCCCCCCCTCGCCCCTCCTCCCTCCCACCCCCTTCCAAGGAGCCCCGCACGGGAAGTGCGCGCCAAAGCCGCGTGCACGAGTGCGCCCCATCTGGTCTGCGAGGGCCCAGGCGGCTGCGGCTGCTGCCAGCTGCGGGACCCCCCCAAGCGGTCTTTGAGAGAGGTCGGCCGGGCGCAGACGCGCGCGCTGCGCTGCTTGCGCTCGACTTTCTGCGCCCCCGCCGCCGCGCGCGGAGCCGCGACGCCAACAGGGCGGGGAGCAGGGGCGCGAAGGAGAAACGCACACGTGCATGAATCCGCGCTGGTTTCGGGCGTGCGCTGGCTGGCCTCGCGGACCGGGGGGGGCCTCAAGTGCGTGCCCGTGGCTGGTCGCGCACGTCCTCTGTGGGCTTCCCGGAAGGAGGGGGGGAGGGCGGGAGGAGAGCGGGGGCCCCCGGAGGGGCGGGTGGGGAGGGACGGGGAGTGGAGAGGGGGAGGAGGATGGGGGGAGCGAGGCAGGAGGAGTGAGGAGCGAGGCAGGAGTGGGCAGGAGAGAGGGAGAGAGAGAGAGAGAGAGAGAGGGCAGGAGGAGGGCAACAAGGGCGATCATTGGGGAGGGGGAGCAGGGGAGGACGATGAACACATTGAGGAGAGGGGAGGAATAATGATGACTCAGGAAGGATGTGGGAGACAGTGGGGTGGCAATGAGGAGGGAGGAGGAAGGATGAACGAGTAAGCAGAGGGAAACGAGGAGGAAGGAAGGGGCAGTGAGGACAAAGGAGGGAGGAGGGAGAGCGAGGGTTAGTGGAAGGTTGAATGTGAGTTAGAGAAGGAGGATGAGGAGGTTGAGGAGGATGAGGAACAGGAGGAGGAGGGGGAGGAGGAGGAGGAGGAGGGCAAGCAGCAGCACCACCAGTCCCACAAGGAAAGAAATTGGATGGAGGGAACGAGTACTGAGGAGGAGTACAACCAAGAAGAGGAAAGCGAAGAGGTCGGCAGACGGGGCCGCGGACGAGGAGACCTCCCTCCGTTGCACGGGGGGCGGCGTGAGTGAGTGAGGACGCTTTCGGGATTCTTCCCCTTTTCCTGCTTGCACTCCTCCTGCTGCTCTCCCTCGCTTTCCCGCTCCTCACCCTCCCGATGCTCGTTCTAGGCGGGCGATGCGGAATTTGGGTGATGGGTCTCAATTGCCGCGTTGGCTTCAAATCGTAGGATGACGATGAGGAAGGGAAAGAGGCTGGCAAGCCTCTATCTCTGTGCCAGCTGCGGACCTGTTCGGGTGAGGTTTCCCCCTTGTTGCTCGCCTGCCTCTCGCGCGCTCTTGCCTTGAAACGCCCCAGAGATCTCGACATCGCTCGGACGCGTGCATCTTTCTCGGCGGGCATCATCGAGGAGCATCCTGGATCACTTTGCGCGACAAGTGCACGCACGACAACGGACAGTGCACAGGGAACGGACGTCCGAGCGATGGCCAGAGATGTGCTCCCGACCTCAGTCCTTGGCTCCTCCCGGGAAAGGGGGGGAGAGCAGCGGAGGGGGGGGGAGGGGCGCGGGAGGACGAGGAGATAGTCCCCCCCCCCTGGCGCGCACAACGGCCTCTGGCCGCCCCTCCTCCACCCCTCTCCCCTCTTGGTGGAGAGGAGGCATCTTGCGAAATAGGCACCAGAAGTCTAAATCATGTTTCAACATTGCCGTTCATGTGCGAAATAATGTAAGAAGCGGTTCGAATGTGTTTCAACATGTAGAAGACACTTAAAAGGCATGTTCCGTTCAATTATAGAAGGGTTAGAGTGTCCATTGCCCTGGCATCCACAAGCCTGCCCCGACATGCTGGTCTCAGGCCATCGAGGAGCAACCTGGATCGTGCGGCGACAACGGCGCGCGTGAAGCCTAAACATGCACAGGGAATTGACGTCCGAGCGCCAGCAAGGCTCGCAGATTGTGGCGACGGCAGCGCACCCCCCGCTCCGACGTGCCTCGTCCCGCTCAAGCGTTATTGTATCTTTTTCCCGGAGCTTCCAACCCTCATGTCCGGTAACGGTCGTTACGTAACGACCGTTACCGGACATGAGAATGATGACGAAGAGTTCGAACGGACGGACCAGATGAAGAAGGAGTGGGGGGCGGACAGAGGGGCAGGGTCAAGGAGGGTGCATGGGGGTTGCCTGCTCGGCAGGCCGAAGGCCCAACAACCTGGCGATGAAGTTTCAGAAGTATCTGCGCGGCGTGCAGCAAAGTTCCGCGGCGCTGAGGCGCCTTGCGCGTCCACGGGGCCGAGAGGGTGGGGATCCGGCCGGCCCATAGCGCTGCGTGGCTCCCACCAGCCGCACGAGCCCTCCCTGCCGCAGTCCTGGCCTCTGGCACGAGAGCCCGAGCTGGCGAGCTCCCACTGGCCTCGCCTGCCCCTTGAGCTGGACCGCTGCCGCTTCCGGACGCCGGCCCCTGCCACTGAGGCCCTCTGCTCTGCTTCCAGCGGGGGCCGGCCTCCTGCTGGCGCCCAGCCAGCTCCACTCCCGGGACGAGCCTCTGCTCACCAGCCCCCACCAGCTCGACCCGCCCTGGCCGCCCGAGGAGCCCGCTCCCGACCGCGGCCGCCTCCTCGCCCCCCAGGAGCCTGGGGAGCGCTGCCTGCTGCCCTGGCCTCACCCGCCCTGCCGCGGCCGAAGCCGCCGCATGTCCCTGCGTCGGTCCTCGCTCTCCTCCTCCTCCTCCTCCTCCTCCTTGTCCTCCTCCCTCCTCCTCCCTCGCTCGATGATGGCGTCGTGGAGCGCATCTCTGCTGTAGGCTCCCTGCGCCAGGCCACCCGCCCTCTGCGAGCCGCGGCCTGACTCGTTTGCACCGTTGCGGGAATAGGGGGCTGCACTCGCAGTACCAGCCGCTCACCGTGCCGAAGCTGCTTCGTTTGGGAGACAGCAGGCGTTTTTTTCTCTCAGTATGCAACAGTCAGGCTGTGAAGTGGCAGACCAGCAGCGGCTCCGCACGAATGCCAGCGAGTGCACTCGTAGTCTCTGTTTGGGACGCATTCGTGATTGCAGTTGAACTCTGAGCGTACTGTAGCGCGACGCAACATGTACATGCGACCAGTCGCAATGGGTCACACTTGTTTGCAACGTATTACGCACATGCGACTGTGTTTGCTTCCATAAATATTCATGCGTTCGGACGCGGACGCATTGCATTTGCGAGCGGAGACCCAGCTGTACATCTTGTTGCTTCGCGTCTGCACGCCGAAGCAGCATCCGCTCTCTCGGAGTGCAAGGGGTGGCCTCCGTCCTGGGGGCCATAGCGTGGAAGTTCGCTGGCAGATTATGGTAGCCTGGCGTGTCCTTGCAACTCCGTCTTTCGAGTGCACAGGCGTGCGCTAGCGCCTGATAGCCGATGAGAAAGCGGAGAATTAGCGCCGACTAGCGTCGAGTAGCGGAGGTTAGAGTCGGTGCGCGAAGGCCAGAAGCATGATATGGGAGGTTCCAGTGAGTTGCCACAGAAGGTGGCAGCCATCAGAGATGCCCGGCGTGGCCAGGTGAAAGCGGACAGGCGAGTTCGCGCAGGCTCGTTGCACGTAGGCAGAGGGGTTCGGATGACCGTGTAGTCTGGAGTTTCTTGACGGCCGATCTTTGCTACAGGCCCTGCTCGCAATTCAGATGTTGTTCCCTCTGCAGGTGCCCTACTTCGGGGGAATCCTCCCGCCTCCGCTCCAGACGTCAGGCGGCACGGTTCGAGGTGTTTTTCGACCTGTTTTTCGAGGCGTGGCCACCCAGACCTGTCGGCGCCCTCTCAGGGGCCGGCTTCTCATCCCGAGTCGTTGTTTGATGGTCGCCTTGGTTGTTTGTCGCCTGTCGCCTTGGTTGTTTGTCGCGTCGCCGGATGTTTGGTCTCCTCGCCATCGAGCAAGGGGGGTCTGAGGGCGAGGGTCCCAGGATCAGCTCTTCGCCCCGAGCCGTTCTGATGAGGGCCCCGGGGGGCCCGTGCAGGGCCCGGGGAGGCCCGGGACCAGCGATGCACAGATGCTGTCGGGCCCCTCCCTCCTCGAAGGACCCGCTTCCTTCCGCAAAGGGGGGACGAACCACCCAGACCCACGAATTGGCGTGTGCTGGCCGGCCCTGGGCGGTTCACGAGACAGCCTTGCCCTGTTCTTTACCAGCCTGGAACATGTCCCTATCCCTATGCTGGGCACCTCCTCATCACGATGATAATCTTAGGGATTCCCTTATTTTTTGAGGGCGAATCCCTGAGATTGTCATCGCCTTTTGGCGTGTCAATATTAGGGATAGGGATACGTTCGAGGCTGGTTAGTTCTGGGTGCGTGTGCTAGATGAGATGTCATTCGTGGGGGACCTTCTTTTTCGGTGTCGTCGCATCTCCGGTTTCGCATCGTCGTCGCACTGCTGTCGCGCCGTCGTCGCCCGCGCGTCGCCTCGGCATCGACTGCGCATGGAGTGCCGCGCTGCGGCGCGCGCGCGCTCGATGCCGCGCTGCGCCGCGCCGTGCCGCGCCGTGCCGAGCCGCGTTGCGCGCGCTGCGCTCCCGCGCGTCTTGCTCTGCGCGCCGCGCCGCGCGCACGGGTGCGCCCCGCGCGCGCCCTGCCGCGAACGCTGCGCCGCGCGCGCGTCGCGCCGCGGGGCCCCGCGCTGCACGCGAAACGCGCCGCCCCGTGCCGTGCTGTGCCGCGCGGTGCCGCGCTGCGGTGTCCGCCGCGTTCCCTCTGCCCGCCGGGGCGCTCTGCTCCCGGCCCCCTCTCTGGCTGGGCACTCGCTCTGGACCTCGAGCGCTGCGGCCGCGTCCTCCTTCCCGTGCCTCCTCCCGCCCTCTCTGCACTCTGCCCTCTCTGCACTCTGCCCTCTCTGCACTCCCGCGTTGTTTCTCCCGCCTCCCGTGCTGGGCTGGCGTCCGGAGGTGGGGCCCTGCGGCCCCCGGCCTCCGTCGCGCCCCCCATCCTGCTTCCCCCTAGCCTATCCCCTGCCCTCCTCCTCCTCCTCCTCCTCCTCCTCCTCCGCCTCCTCCTTCTCCTCCTCCTCCTCCTCCTCCTCCTCCTCCTCCTACCTATCCCCTGCCATCCCTGGGGGACTGCGATCTGTGAAATTGCCAACACTTGCGAGGGATGTCAGGGGGGGGGGCTGCGGAGTGGCATCACGCGAGGAATCAGATTGGACCTCGCCGTCCCTGGGGCCGGCTGTGATCTGCGAAACCGTCGCCGCTTTCGAGGGTTGCTATGGGGGGGGCAGCGTAGTGACGTCCTCCGGTAATTCAGACTCGACCTCGCCATCCCTGCGGGGCTGCGATTTGCGAAATTGTCGCCACCTTCAACGGCTGCTGCCGCCGAAGGGGCGGCCGCTCTTGGCGGGGGGCGGGGGGGGCGCACAGCGATGTCCTACGGAAATCGTCGGTCGACCCTTCCGACCGCTGCCAGGGGGGGGCAGCAAAGCGATGTCCCACGGGGGTTCACATTCGATCTCGCCCTCCCGGGGGGGCTGCCATCTGCGAAATCGTCGCCGGCTTCGGGAGCTGCTGCGGGGGGCAGCATGCTGCCGTCCTGCAGGACCAAGAAGCCTCACGAGAGAGCCCATATAAGCAAGAAAACATAATTCCCTTTGGGCCGGGGGAATGAGCGAAGCGATTCAATAATATCTCCACGACAGGGCCAGAGCAGAGAGGATCCAGATTTGACCTCGCCAGCCTCGTGGGGCTGCGGTTCGCGACATTGTCGCCACTTGGGTGCCGCACCGTGCTCAGAGCTTCCGTGCCGATGCGTAGCGTGTGGGCTCGCCGAGTGGGCTCAAGTCCTGGCGGGAGCGTGTCGCGCCAGACCTACCTTCAGAGGAGTAAGGGGCACCCACACCGCTGCCCTCGCCTCGTTTTCCCCTTTTGGGCCTCTTGGGACGCCCTTGTCGCCACCGCTGGATGCGCCTCGAAATACTGGTCAGAACGCACCTCGGGAGACGTCTGGGGAGTAGCGGTATCGGTACTTTTATTGTTTCTCAATACTTTTTCTGTTCACATGCTGAGCTCCGTGCCAGCACGTTCCGGATTGCTTGTTGCGTCTTGGGGCAGTGAAATCGTTGCTGTCCGCATGCGCAGCTGTAGGCTACCCGAGCAGGCCTGCCACCATTTCGTAATCCGCAGTATGAAGGTTTTTCAGGCGGCACGCCTTCAGGACCCTCGCCCCGCTGACTACGAACTTGGGAAGTTGTGGTTAGGAATTCCAGGCTCGCATTTTGATGTCTCAAAGTGTTTTCGCACGCCTGCTCGACCACCCACGCCCCAGGCGCCATTCCGGCTATTCAAGCGAATGGCCGGTAGAAGAGGAGGAGGGTGCGGAGGAGGAGTTTTCAACACCAACGTTTGCAACCAGCAAGACAGGACTGTAGTGCAAACCATTATGATCTGAATCAGGTCGATGCGGAGGAGGAGAAGGAGGGCGGAGGAGAAGGAGGGAGGAGGAGGGGGAGGAGGAGGACGAGGGGGGGGGGGAGGAGGAGGAGGAGGAGGAGGAGGAGGAGGAGGAGGAGGAGGAGGAGGAGGAGGAGGAGGAGGCAGAGGAGGAGGAGGAGGAGGAGGAGGCAGAGGATCAGGAGGAGGAGGAGGAGGAACCGCTCCCAGGCACATCGACTACAAGTCTTTCAAGGCATGCCCGGGGGCGCGGCCACGTCTGGCGCCGCCGCTCTCTCGTGGATGCGGTGTCGGGCGGGGGAGCAGGTCGGAGCCTGTCGAAGGAGAGCAAGCGGCGCAAGCATGAACTTCGGAGGGGGAACATGTATAGGGGAACAAAAAGTGACATAAACATAAAAAAACGGAGGTCCGCGCGGATTTCTCGGATCGGCGCTGGGGCCCCCCGGCGGCGCCTCCGGCGCCGCCCCTGGCGCGCTCCGCGCTCCAGGGAAGGGGGTCCAGCGCCGATCCGAGAAATTCGCGCGGACCTCCGAGTTTTTATGTTTATGTCATTTTTTGTTCCCCTAATGCACCCATAATCGTTTTCATCTTCTGGGGTCTTTTGGGAGACTCTCGTCGCTACTGCTGGATTCGCCCTGAAAGTATGCTCAGATCGCGCCCTGGAAGAGGTCCAGGAAGTAACGTTCAAGAGCGTCCTGGTACGTTTTCAGAGCGTTCGGGAACGCTATGAAAAGGCTGCTGCGCCCGACACATCTTCCAGAACCGCCTGATCTCAGATATTCCACATTTATCTGTAACCGATGTTATTATTGTCCTGACATCCTTTGGGCAAGCGGCGTAAACATGACCTCTCGTTTCGATGTTCCAACCTACCTTAGCCTTGACCACCAGAAAGAATCTCGAGCACCAAGGAAGTACCGGAACTGGAGGGCGTTCACGCGTCGGGCCCTGGGATGCGAGATACTCGTTCGACACTGTTTCGACACTCATCGGGGTGCTCGAAGCCATGTCTGAGATGTGGACGATGGGAGCGACATGCAAAACAATTCGGAGGTCCGCGCGGAGTTCTTGGATCGGCGCTGGGCCCCCAGGCGGCGCCTCGGGCACCGCCCCCGGCGCGCTCCGCGCGCCGAGCCAAGCAATCCGCGAGGACACCTTCGACAGCGTTTGTGTCTGCACGGCTGTCTCATGGCGCCCTCCCATGACAGTGGAGGCCCATGCCAGCCCAGGAACACCTCGCTTGCCTCCAGGGTGCCCCGGGTCTCTTGGTTTTCGATGGGTTTGCGATGGAGCGCATGACGCTTCCGCACCAAACATCGATGGACGCCCTGGGATCTCAGGCTTGATTATCTTGTTGATGGTTTCTTGAGGGCTGGCCTCCACTGTATTACAGAAACTGTTGTAGACCAAACAATATCAGTGACCGGACATGTGCCCGAAATTGTGACCGAAAGCGTAGCGTGACCGAAGTGCTGCCCCATTTCTTGTTGAGCCAACGAGCGCGGTCGGTTTCAGGCCGGTCGCGCCCGGGCGTACTCTCAGGCACAGGCTTGCTGCTTGTCCTCTCCCTTAGGCTTCGTGGCCTTTCTCGCCTGCTGCCGCCGCCCCGCTCGGTCGGCTGTGCCTGCGCCGCCCACGCCTCGCTCGGGAGAGGTGGGGAACTCGGGGGATGCACCCGCGGGGGGGGGAGGGGCGGTTCGGATGCACTCCCTGGGTCCAGGCCTCCGAGATGGGGTGCGAGTGGATGGGGTCGGAGGATCGCGCCGCTTTGCCGATGTATCGGTGATCTTTCTCGATGCGGAGCCCGATTTTCTCCACTGCCGACGTCGCAGATGCATAGGCGATGCGGCGCGATCTTCCGACCCCATCTACTCGAACCCCATCTAGGAGGCCTCTACTATGAAGGATGGACGCCCCCACATTGTATTTCCCCGAGTTTGGCCACGATTGTTTCGTTCAGCCGAATTTCCCTCAAAGTCTGGGATTGGGGTCGCCATACCCTCCTTACCCACTTCTTCGCTCTGTGTAAGAATCACGACGGGAGGTTTGTGGCCGCTTCAGGGCCTCTGGGAGCCCTGGCCATGCCTTGGTGCCTTGGGACCGTCAGCACGACCGTGCTAAAATGTCTGGGGTAGAAGCCATTCCCGTGGACAAGGTCCAGACCTCTGCGGGTCCGCGCTGTGAAAAAGTCGACCTCGACCTCGGCGTTCTGAGGAAAGCAGGAGAGCGTTTTTTCGCCCCCAGGCGATCACTGGCGTTACTAAGGGGGGCGGGGCAGGTACCGTCACGTTTCGCGCCAGCGCCGTCTGGGAACGTCTACGAATGACCAACGACAGCTCGGACGTCAGCACGAATCGTGACTGACGTTACCTCGGGGAGAGGGGGGGCGGTCCGGCCGGGGTAACTGCCGGCACCGCGAAACAAATACCTCTCCAGAGGCGACAGTGGCCTGCTCATCGTGTCTCGTCCGCTCGCTGGCTACGAGCCCCGGCGTCTGCTCCCGTGCCCGCTCGGTCGCTTCAGCGTGTGAGCCGCCGTCCTTCTCTGAGGCTTTGCAGGGCCTCGGCTGCAACTCAGGAGGGGAAAAAACACACAGACACAATTAATCGTCGATTTCCAGGAAAATATTGGGAAATACATATGGGAAGTTGGGGGAAGACATTACCCCAGTGCGACCCTACCTAGAAGTTGGAGCCCCTAGGAAAGCAGCAGTAGTTATTATGCTATGTTATGCTATGCCATGCTATGCTGCGCTCTGCTATGCTATGCTATGATATGCTATGAGATGCTGCGCTATGATATGCTATGATATGCTTAGCTATGATATGACATGCTATGCTAAGCTATGCTATGCTATGCTATACTATGATAAGCTGCGATATGATATGCTATGTTGTGCTGTGATGTGCTTTGCTCCGCTATGCTATGCTATGCTATGCTGCGCTATGCTATGCTATGATATGCTGTGCTGCGCTATGCTGTACTACGCTCTGCTATGCTATGCTGTGCTCTGCTATGCTAACGCTCAGCGAAGCAAATCTGAAGGTAAGCTAAGATAATATAAACCTGAGCTCAGATCAAGCTAAGTTAAGCTAAGATGAAATACGCTAAGCTAAGATGAGATAAGCAACGCTAAGCTAAGGGGACGTCACTGGGGGAACCGCGGGGCAGATACTGGGGGATCCGCCCGGGGCGAGTTGCCCGGCCCTTTAAGCATACCGAGTAAGAACCCTTCTAGGCAGAGCCTAGGTAGGGAAACATTCAGAAAGCATGGGAAAATATGGGGAATCCTGTTATTTGTGTGTAGTTATTTGTGTGTCCTGGGACCCCTTCAGCAACGCCTGGGAGGTGTGGTGCGGCATCGGGGCTGGTGCGTCCGCGGCCGAAAGCCGTCGTGCTCTAGCCCCGTCCCGCTGAGTTCGGCCCAGTGCCGCTCGATTCTGGGCTCAATCAGGCTTGCGTCTAGGCTCTCCTCCCTCCTCCTCCTCCTCCTCCTCCTCCTCCTCCTCCTCCTCCTCCTCCTCCTCCTCGTCCTGCTCCTCCTCCTCCTCCTCATCTTGCCAACTCCTCCTCCTCCTCCTTCTCCTCTTCCTCCTCCGCCTTCTCCTCCTCCTTCTCCTCTTCCCCCTCCTCCGCCTCGCCCTCCTCCTTCTCCTCCTCCGCCTCCTCCTCCTCCTCCTCATCATCATCGTCCCCCCCTTTTTCTCCCGGCGACTTGTTTAGTGGCACCTCAATCGGGCTCAATAGAGCCCTGGATCGTTCCTGCGAAGACCACCCAGCGGCGGTGGTCTGATCATCGCGTCTCGGCTGCCCGCTCTCCAGGGCGCGTGACGGTTTTCGCCAACGCCTGCTCCTCGGCATCGTCTGCACCATCCTATTTCTTGGGGATGCTCTGCGGCAGAGACGACAGTGGTCAGATCAATGCTGCCAGCCTTCCAGCTGGTGGGAAGGAGACCCCACAGTGAAGTGCGGCCCAGTAAGCTCCTACGTTGTGGTTGTTCGAGTCACTCTCCCCCCCACACTTAACACTAACGCGCACCCACATACAAGCAATAATTCTGCGGCGCGTTCGTTTTGCCTATCGGCCCCAAGACCATCAACCGTGCCCCGAGGACAGCAACAATACATCGGAGGTCGGGACTCGCGCCCCTCGCCAGACCTGCCGCAGCTGTAGAAGCTTCGTTTGTATTCCTTTACCACCCCGTCGAGGGGGAGGATAGATGATCGATGTGTGGTTCATGCTTCTGTTGACGCATTCGCTTCTAGCGACCTCTCGAGAGATTGTCGACACGATGGGCTCCTTAGGTGGGGTAAGGAGCACATCTCACTCCCCTGGCTCGCTCTCAGCATCCTCGCCCCCTCTGGTCGCCCTGAGAGGTTAAACAGATAGGGGTACTTCCTCATTCCCCCGACGAGTTATGTGTCCCTCCTTGCGCAGCTTTGGTCCCATGTGAGACAGTTGACCGAAGTTGTCGTTTGGTTTCGAGGTGATTGTTCGCTCTCGCTCTTTATAGTTTCGGAAAATCGAAGTTGCATGCCCATCGGTCGTTGTCAAGTTCGTACGTTTGGATCTCCAGATCCCATCGTACTTTTGGGCGCCTTCGTATTTCAAGGGTTGAACGATTTCACCGCTTCCCTCTTCAGGCGGGTGAGCAGGAACTAAATTGATCCTCAAGTCCTCTACTCCATGCTTCGTCCACTTCTTTGCGAACGTTGGATAACAACCAACTCGGAATTCTCCGTGGACTTCTCGCATCGGAGGCGCCGCCAGGGGTGACAGGCTCATTTTCACCACATCTACCATAGGTAGGACAGGGAGGAGGAGGAGGAGGAGGAGAAGGAAGAGGGGGAGGAGGAGCAGAAGGAGAAGGAGGAGGACGAGGAGGAGGAACAGGACCTCCGCATCCTCGCTTCTCCCCGTCCTACCTATGGCAGTGGTGGTGTGAAGTCGGCCCCGCAAGGGGGTCGAGGCTGAAGCCCCCCCCCGGCGGCGCCTCCCAGAAGCCTGCGCGGAGCAGGAAAGCATGGGAAGGCCTGCGCGCCCGCGTGAATCCTGCGATGGAGCTCCGAAAGCTGGAATGTCTTTGGGGGAGGAGGAGGAGGAGGAGGAGGAGGAGGTGGAGGAGCAGGGGGAGAGGGGCCCCCCCCTCCCTCCCTTCGGCCAGAGAGATCTTGGCCTGGTCGTCGGCGCGAGTGTCAGGGGCATCCAAGAGGGGGGCGACGACTACCCTGACCTTCCAGAGGTGCTTCCTCCTCCTCCTCCTCCCCTTTCCCCCTCCTCCTCCTCCCCCCTCCTCCTCCCTCTCCTCTCTCCCTCATCCTCCCCTCCTCTCTCCCCTCCTCCTCCTCCTCCTCCTCCTCCTCCTCCTCCTCCTCCTCCTCCTCCTCCTCCTCCTCCTCCACACCACTCCAGACCAAGAAACTCATCTGGACTGCTTGAAAAGTCTCGACTGGGATTTAGGTATCAAGGTCCCAGTGCTATTTGTTAGCCCTAGTGAAGGTCAGGGTGGGGGTGGGGAAGTGAGAAGGAGAAGACCTTCTCAGAAGGCGGCGGGTCCTCTCGGGAGCCCTCCGGCCTTCCGAGAAGTATTCTGTGTCTTTGGGGGAGGTTCGGAAGACTTTGCAGAAGGCCGAGAGGCTTCCGAGCCTTCTGAGAATACCCGCCACCTTGCGTCCCCCCCCCCCAGGTTCGCCGCCGAGCGTAGGGGGGGCGGATATGATGGCCTGGGCCCTGGAATCCCCCCAAACTCACGGCCCTCCTTACTTGTGGGGCGAAAGGCATGTCATATCCGTATCCGCGGCATCACAGGCCGGGCCCCTGGGCCGCGACCCCGCGGATACAATGCGTCTGTTCGCGGTTGCTGCCCCGCGCGGAACGTATCTGTGCGACCGCGTATCCGCGGGATCGCGCCCCAGAATCCAGACCGCGAGAGCGCGGATACAGATCTATTCGCCGGCCGTGATTCTCTTTTTGTTCCCCGGCCTTTCCCCCTTGATGGTTTCGCACACGTTTCTCTGGCCATGCTCTGCGATACACCCGCCTCTTGGACTCGCTCTCCTTGCGCGCCCCCGACACGGCCCCCTCTCTCCAGGGAGGAAACACCACCCGGAACCGACGGTTGGCGTGTTCATGCACGGCCCTGGGCGTTTCCCGAACAGCCCTGCCCTGTTCGATTCCTTCCCTTGGGTGCGTCTCCTATAGACGGCCTCGCGCGTCGGGGTGAGGATTCTGAGGGTGAACCTCCTGCCGGCTCCCAGTTCTGCTCCCACAATCCTGAAAAGGGGTGAGCACGGCAGCACGGTGGGTGTTCGACCGCCACAAAGTGCTTCAGGCTCGGACCCGGCTCTTGAGAAGCACCGCAAGACAGAGATTCCAGATCATAAGTTTTCCACTTACCAGCCTGGAACCTATCCCTATCCCTATGTTGGGCATCGCCTCATCACGATGGCGATCTTAGGGATTCCCTCAGTTTCTGAGGGTGTATCCCTAAGATTGTCATCGCCTTTGGGCGTGTCAATCTTAGGGATAGTGATCAGTTCGAGGCTGGTTATTCACGGCTGCCGATCCCCCCCCCCGCACGCCCGCCCGCGCCGCCCCCGAACAGGTGGAGATCAAGAGCCTCTGCGAGCGCGTGGCGGCGGGCCAGCTGACGCGGCAGGCCGCGTCGGACGGCTTCTCCCGGAGGCGCGCCTCGCCCCCCCCGCGCGCGGCGCCCCTCCTCCTCGCGCGCGCTCGCGGGTCGCGCGCCGTGGCGCCGCGGGCGGGCCTCGGGCCTCCCCGAGGGGGCCGATGCGCGGCGGGGGGGGGGGGGGCGTCGGGGGAGCGCGCCTAGGGGTCCACATGCGGACCCTACCCCTACCCCCCACGATTTCTGAGGGGTAGGGTGGGGTTCGCTTCGTTCGGGAGCTCCCGAGCGAAGTGACCCCCACCATCCCAGTCAGAAATCGTGGGGGGTAGGGGCAGGGTTCGCATGTGGCCCCCTAGGCGCCGCGCTGCCGATGCTCGAAGAAGAAAACACGCCGTGAGCAGAAACGGCTGGGCGCTCCGCGAGCGGCGCTCCCCCCGGGCGGAGCGCGCCAGGGGATGGGGGGGGGTCCAGCGGAGGTCCGAGGAACCCGCGCGAAGCGCCAAGCGTCTACGATTACAGTCAAAAACCAGAATAGGGACGCGCGACTTTGCTCAGGGTACCCCTGCGTCCTTGCTCTTCCTTGCTCTTGCGTCCTGGGGGTTTTCGTCGTCCGCCGCCCCAGAAATCCCAACTTCGGCTTCCAAGGGTCTTGCGTCCTTACCGCGCGTCCTCATTAGGGTTTTTGACTGTATGCCCAGTCGTGCCTTCGTCCAGTGGGAGCCCCCATGCGGCCGGGCGCGGAGGGGGGGGAAAATGGGGGGGGAGGGCGGGCTGGCTGGAGGCACCCCTCTGCTTCCCAGCAGGCGCGTGCCCCGTCTCCAGAGGCGAGGCCCGCGCCCTCGAAGGAGCAGCCTCCTCCCAAGAAGCCGTTCCCTTTGAGTGGGACGTGTCCCTCCACAGGAGGAAGATGCAATAAGAGTCAAACAATTGTTTGGGGGACTATTTGGGGTGCTATGGTTTGTATCAGTTTAACATGTTTTGTCTATCATTTTGCTGTCCGTCCCAAAAATCCGCCTGTAAGGGGACGCGCCCGACCCAACCTCTCCCCATGCGCGCCGCCAAGCGGAGCCCCCGTGCATTCCGCGCCGACGGTGCCGATGCATCGCCGACGCATCGCCGATCATCGGCCAGATCCTGCGACCCGATCTGCTGCGATCCCTCGCTTCGGAGGCCTCCAGAGGGGCGGGGGAGGATAACAGACGAAAGTGACGAAATTGCGAATTCAGAGTTGCGCGTGCCACACTGCTCTTCACGCTTCGCGTGGCCCTATCAGCCCATCGAGGAGCGAAAGTTTAGGCGAGGTCGCTTCGCGAAGGGGCGTGAGAGAGTATTCGTGAAGAAATGAAGGGGGACATCAGAGGGGGCCCAAGTTCCATCCCCCCAGCTGCAAGTTGATTCTAAGGACAGCCTGCGTCGGGAGTGGGTTGTGGGGCGGTTCGCGGGGGCGGCTAGTCCGCTGCTGGGTCGCCGGGCGGGTCGTCAAGGGGCGACGGAGAGAGCAACATCATTCATTGTACGGTTCTTTTGCAGGTGCTTGCGTGTCAGCCACCACGTCTACCCTACGCCCTCGACGCCCCCCCGCTTTCTTCGCTTCTGAGCGCGCCTCCTTTTGAGGGTTTTTGTTTCCAGACCATCTTCTGGGCAGGCCCCGACAAGAGAAGACAGGCGGGTCTGGCGGGCAACCTCTGCTGGACGGATCGGGCGGGCGGGACGTGCATATTCCCCAATCAGAGCTTGCCTCTGTAGGGGTCCTAGTGGATTCATATGGTTAGGTTAGGTTTGCCGCCGATTTCCGCCGCACGCCCGGGTGCCCGGGTGCCCGGGGGTGCCCAGGGGTGCCCGGGTGCCCGGGTGCCTGGGCGTGCCCGGGCGGGTGCACGGGTGCCCCGCTGCACGCCCGGGTGCCCGGGGGCCGGGGGGTGCCGGGGTGCCCCGTTGCCCGGGTGCCCGGGCGCACGGGGAAAAATATCGCCCTCCTCATCAAACCCGACGAATTCCCGCCAAAGTATTGTTCTGGACGGCGCCACAGGGACGCGAGTCACCTGGCTTGGACGACACACGCCGCCGACAATCCAGAATATCGGAATTCCTTGCTGCAAGGGTCTCGCAAGTTCTGAGGGCGACGGCCCCACGCGCCCCGCCAGAAGGGGCCAGATTAGCGACGCGTTGGCGCGTAAGCGCCCCGCGTAAGGTTCCCGCGTAAGCGCCATCGTTTCCAACGTGGCGTGCCGCGCTGGCGGCCCGCGTAAGCCGCAGCGTAAGGTCGCCATGCCATCTCGCGCAAGACCCGCTTTTGATCGCCGCTCAGGCCTTCTTGTTCACATGGCGTCTCGCTGTTCGCTGTTGCCCCCTCCGCCCCCCCCCCAAACCACCTGGAGGCTGGAGGCGGAGCTGACCGAGGTCGCCTGCGCGTGGGAGGCCTGTCTCTGGGAGCTCAGGCGGCCCCTCCGCGCCGCCCGCGCCGCTATTGTGCGGCTGTCCACGTCGTCACCTGAGCGACGCCAGAAAGACCCGCTTCCTTTCGTCGCTCACTTGCCCCCCCCCCCCCACCACCACTCTCATGAGGAGGAGGAGGAGGAGGAGGACGAGGAGGAGGAGGAGGAGGAGAAGGAGGAGGAGGAGGAGGAGGAGAGAGGAGGAGGAGGGGGAGGAGAAGGAGGAGGAGGAGGACCCAGGAGGAGGAGGAGCAGGAGGAGGAGGAGGAGGAGGAGGAGGAGGAGGAGGAGGAGGAGGAGTTGTGCCCACACCTTGGAGCCGGCTGGGGGTCTGAGGTGGCCCCAGCCTTGGTTCCGGCGAGCGAGGAGAGGGGGGGGGGGAGGTCCGCGGTCCTGGGTTCGGAGAGGTTTTTGCTGCTCCCGGCCTCAAGGGGGGGCCTTTGTCCGGGCCGCAGGACCATCTCGAGCTGATCCGGGGTGAACATCTGCGCCAGGCGGACCCTGGGAGGGGTCCGGGGAGCGATTCTGCGCGGGAACGGCCCCAGCTGAGCTCCTGGCCGATGTCCCAGGGTCCCAACCAGCTCGGACCCCCTGGGCTTCCTCCAGGGAGGAGGCGTGGTGCCCAGGGCCCATCCTCGCTGGCGAGGAGATCCCAGGCATCCGGCCTGCCAGACCCCCACGTTGCCACCTGTGGATGCTTTGCGGCCAGGATCGTCTGGCTCAGCGTGTCGGCCCGCTGGCTCTGGCCCACCAGGCCTCGGCGGCGCGACGCGCCGTCCACTGCTCCGTGCCCTGGGCGTCGAGGTCCCGGTCCCGGGGCCTGCCGCCGCGCGGAGCGGAGCGGCGCGCTGTCCGCTTCTGCAGGTCAGGGCGTGTCGCCGGGGCGGGCAGGGCGACGCGCTCCGCCAGAGTTGCCGACCGCCTCACCTCCGGCACGCCCGCCCCGACCAGCTCGGCTCATGCTCGGTGCCCCATGTGGGCTTTCACGTTCCCTGCGCTCCTTCTCTCGCCCCCAGCTGCAGTCTGCTGCGCTCGCCCAGGTCAGAGTGCTTCTCGCTTCGGGTGTCCCCACCGGCCCATTCAGAAGCGTTGCCCATTACAGCCGACAGAGAATGGGAGGAAGACGCACACGTAGTGACTTGTAGTGAAACAGAGTGGGCAACTGAGGTGATCAGAGAGATCTCTGGGAGCAAGGAGGTGGCCTCGGAGGGCCTCTTCGGGCCATCCTTGGGCCCGCGTGACGGCGAGGGAAGGCGAAGGAAGTCGAAATCGGCGACGGCGACGACGGCCACGACGCCGAGGAAGAGGAGGAAACGGAAAAGGAAGACGATGAGGGCAAAGACGAGGAGGAGGAGGAGGAGTAGGAGGAGGAGGAGTAGGAGGAGGAGGAGGAGGAGGAGGAGGAGGATAACGAGCACGATGACAGAGCCTTGAAATCGCGTCTTGGAGCCCTCTTGGTACTCTTTTGTGTGATGTTAGGGTCCTCTTTGGGCTTCGGGGTCAGTTTGGACACTGGAGGGCCTCTTGGGGTGATCTTATCTTGGAGACCATTGATCAAAAGGGGAGGTCCTCGATTTGCCTTGCACCCCTGGGGCCCTCTTCGGGCGCTCTTGGGCTGCTATAGGGCGCCTTTCGGGCCGTCTGGGGGGCCTCTTGGGCCCCTCGCGGGTATATCTTGGGGCTTCAAGAACGCATCGGAATCATCAAGGCGAGAAGCCACAACTCATTACTTTTCCGAGGTGGGTTGCAGTCTTTTGGGGGGTCCAGAGGGGACTCGGAGGGCACTTGGAACCTTCTTGTGGCCCTCGTCGGGCCTCCCGGAGGAATGTTGGAAGCTATCTTGAACCATCTTCGACTACCTTGAGCAGCTTTGGAGGCCATCTTGGAGTGTCGGAGGCCCCCTAAGAGCCATCTTGGGCGAAAAAAGACCCCCTGACACACCGCGAACCCCCTCAAAGAAACCTCAGTGCGGGGAGGGGGGAGGGTACTCCATCCCCGAAGGGAAAATGGTTTTGGGAGCGGGAAGAAAGAATTTGTTAGAGCACCTTAGCTCAAAGGGCTGGTTGGGTTTTAGGCCGTAGCGCCTGAGCCGGTTCTTTGCATTGCACTGCGTCCCCACATGAGCGCAGCAGCTGTACAGCTTGGATCCGCTCGACGTTCAAAAAGGGCCCACAACTGCCACGTGCTGAACGCACGGTGCGGTAGTGCTTGACTCTCTTCGGCATCTGAGGGTCCACAGGGCCCCCAGACCGCCAAGAGATACGGAGAGGACCTTTGGTTGGAGGGGACGAACTGGGCCATCCAGGGGGTGGATGAACAAGTGGGCCGTTCATCGGGTGGATGGAAGCGCGGTGGTGCGAGAAATCACAGCTGGGATTGCGGATGGCTCGGCCGTCCACTTTCACCTCGTCCCTCAACCATCTTTGCTGGAATCAGCTCCTGCCAGCTAGACAGCCCTGGGCCCTCTCGACTGTCTCCACTTCTCTTGCGTATTTAATGGTCCCACTCGCTTTCGATCTCTTCTCCCTTCATGTTTTCTCAGTGTCCTCCACACCTGTACTGCTGCCCTTCTAGACGCGGTGAACTTGCCTCGACGTTGGGTTGTCAAAAAAAAGGGGGAGGAGGAGGGGAGGAGGAGGAGAAGGAGGAGAAGGAGGAGGAGGGAGAGGTGATAATGGGATGAATGAGGGAGGAGGAGGAAAAGGAGGTTCATAAGGATGAGCATGGAGGACGATGAGGGAGGAGGGCGGGAGCAGGATTGCGGAGGATGATGGAGGAGGAAGGAGGGGGGGCGGAAGGATGAGGACATGTGAGGAGGAGGAGGAGGAGGAGGAGGAGGACGACGACGACGCGGGGCGAAAAGGGAGAAAAGGGACGACGAGGTGCGGGGCGAGAGGGCAGGAATGCTGGCGGGAGGGAGGGATGGAGGGAGGCATGGGAGCAGGAGAAGGGGAGGGAGAGGCGGGGTGGTTTGGGATCGGTGCAAGGGCGCCCTGGGTCGCGGGAGCCAAGGCGGCCAGGCGCGCGAGTACCCTTCCCCCGAGGCGCGGAACGCCTTTCCGAGGGAGCTCTGGGAAGGGGTTCCATGAGCCGGGTGGATGGCCCACTTGGGGCCTCGGAGCATCAGCCGGACGGATGGCCCACTTGGGGCCCTGGACCAGTGCAGGGGTACTGGGTGCCCCGGTGTGATGTTCCATGAGCCGGGTGGATGGCCCACTTGGGGCCTGGGGGCGGCGAGGGGGTTGCGCGCAGGGCGTGCGAGGGTCGGGGGCGTGCATGAGCCGGATGGATGGCCCACTTGGGGCCTCGGGGGGGGCGGCCTCCAGGAGCCGGGTGGATGGCCCACTTGGGGCCTCGGAGCATCAGCCGGACGGATGGCCCACTTGGGGCCTGCATTCGGCCTCCGCGGAACAGCGTTCGGGAAGGGCTGCGCGCCTTCCCGGAACAGCGTTCGGGAAGGGCTGGCGGCGGAGGGAATGGGGAGGGGTGGGAGCGGGAGAGCACGAGGTTGGAAGAAAGGGGCAAATGGAGGGAGGGAAGGGGAAGGGGACGGGGGAAGGCGAAATAGGACAGGGGAGCTGGGGGAAGGGAGGGGGAGGGGGGGGGGGAGGGATGAGGGAGGCAGAGTGCGAGAGAAAATGGGCGCGGTTGGCAGATGTAAGTAGCGGACTAGCATCAGTGAGGCGCTGAACGACACTGGTGTGGGACGCGGGGCGACGACGACGACGACGACGACGACGACGACGACGCGGGGCGAAAAGGGGAGTGAAGGGAGAAAAGGGGAGGTGGCGGCGGAGGGGGCAAGGGGCTGCGCGGTGGGCGGAGGCAGGGGGAGGGCCAGCACGGGAGCGTGCACGGGGCAGACCAGGCGAAGTGGCCACTTCGGCGCCACAGAAAGGGCGCGGCGGTCGACGGGCACACCTAGGACGAGAAGGAGAGAGGGTGGCAGAACAGCAATTCCAAGGCTGCCCCTCGCAGACAATTTGGCTTCACTCGTGCGGCCTGATCCCGCTTCGAGGTGTCTCCATGTCGACGCGGTAGCGGGCCGTGGGCCGAGGCGACCGAACTGCTCCGAACGCTGGGCGGAAAGGCGTTCCAGAAATCTTGGAACGCCTCCCCGAAAGCCGTTCCATGCACCATTTCGACGGCCCACCTTCTGGATGGCCCTGTTCGCCCCGCCTAATTTGGGCCAGCTTGCCGCGCCGGCGGTTTTGGCCTAACACGCTTCGGCGCCACACGCTAGACGGCAGGCTCGCGTCGTGGGTTCGCGCCGTGTCGACCGGCGGCGACCCCGCCGCTGGCCTTTTTTCCTCTTTCCTCCTCCCTCCTCCTCCCTCCTTCTTCCTCCTCCTCCTCCCTCCTCCCTTCCTCCCTCCCTTCCTCCCTCCCTCCTCCCGCCGCCGCCGCCGGGCCCCGGGGAACGACTCGGGCTGTCTCGGGGCCCCGCATGCGTCAAAAACCAAGGCAGCGGATATGGAGGAGGCGGAGGCGCGGGCTCTCATGCAGTGCAGCGTCTCCCCCGTCTAAGCCTGAGCTGCTGGATCGTTTTTTGCTTGTCGTCGGCAAGCGTCTTGTGTGGGCTGTGGTATACGTCTGTGGGTGTGCTGGCGGGCGCCATTCCATCTGCTTATCCTCCTGTTGCGTCTTTTCCTCCTCCCTCCGCGGTCGCCCTGTCCGTCCTTTCCCCTCCTCCTGCACGCTGGCCAATTCGTTTCCCGGTGCCCCCGTTCAGGTTCTATCGCCGGTGCAGCCATGATGCCTCGCCGCCGGCGGAGAAAAGTTTAGTCCGTTCCGCAGGTTCAGGGGTATAGTGCAAACAGCTGCAGCAACCACTTGTTGAGTAGTGGTTGCATCATTCGCAGGCGAAGCAGCATTTTGGAGTAGCAGCTGCTAGTGTGATCGTATACAAAACATGAAAATCAGTACGGGGCCGTATTACTCGTGGTAGCAGGATGAGGCATACAACGATGGCGACCAGGATGCTTTAGGAGGAGGGGTGACCAGTTCTTTAATACGATGATGAGCGGCACCGTCTGCACCAGCAAGAGGGGGGATCTCATCGACAAGACTCCCTGCCCGAGAGTTGCTTCTTTCTCGGCGTCTGGTATCAGGGGTCGTGGGAAGAGCTAGGAAGGATGATGGGGAACTGGGAAGGGCCGCCTCGAGGCAAAAGCTGGCGCAACTGGAAGAAAAGGAGGAGTTGGGAGGGGCCAGGAATGTGGGGATCAGGAGGGATTTGTTTTTTTGGGGGGTCGGTCGAGAGCCTTGGGGCGCTATTCCAGGGTTGCGCGAAGGATGAGGAGGATGAGGAGGAGGAGGAGGATGGAGGGAGGGGTGAGGAGGAAGGAGGGAGGAGGAAGAGGAGGAGGAGGAGGAGGAGTAGGAGGAGGACAAGGAGGAAGAGGAGGAGGAGGAGGAGGAGGAGGAGGAGGAGGCGGAGGGAGCAGACGGAGGGAGGAGGAGGAGCACCAGCAGCAGCAGCACCAGGGAAGCAGGAGGGAGAAGGGGGCACATGGGGGGACATGGGAGGAGGAATGGCGGGAGAGGATACGTTAACAAGGGGAAAACGTAGCACCCCGCAATTGCGGATAAGAGTGAGGGGGCGGGCGCGGGCGACGCGGGCGTCGTCGAGCCGGCGGACCTCGTGGCCCCCACCTTCCCTGTCGATGGCGCTCTCCTCCTCCTCCTCCTCCTCCTCCTCTTCCTCGTCCTCGTCCTCATCGTCATCGTCATCCTCCTCCTCCACCTCGTCCTCCTCCTCTTCTTCCTCGTCCTCCCTCTCCCCCCCTCGTCCTTTCATCATCGTCCTCCCATTGTCGTCCTCCCCCTCATCGGCCTCCATCATCGTCCTTCCATTGTCGTCCATCATCATCATCGTCCTCCCCCTCCTTCCCCCTCATCGTCGTCCTCCTCCCCCTCCTCCCCCTCCTCCCCCTCCTCGTCCTCCTGCTCCTCCTCCTTTTCTTTCTCCACGTTCTCATTGTATCCTCTCTTCTTCTGCGTTCTCCTCGTCCCCTGTTTACTCCTCCTGCCTCCCCCTCCTTTCCCAAGATAACTGCAACGCAATCCTTGATTTCAACTTGTGCTCCCAGCCTTCTCTGATCAAGGCAAGTCGCCAGGGCAGAATTGCTGGACGGGCTGGTGTGGATGCGCGGGGCTTGAAGAGGTCCTTGCGGGCTCAGACGGCATGCAAAAATCCGCCGCCTCGCTTGTGCGGCATTGGTTTGTTCAATGAACGTGGTTTAGGTCGCGGGTGGGTCGCGGGCTCTCCACCTCCACCTGGAAGGGATGCAAGAGCAGCCCGCCGCAGGCGCCAAACAAATTGGTTTGCACACTGACGTGGTTTGGGTCGCGGGTGGGCCGCGGGTTCTCCACCGGGAACGAATGCAAAAGATGCCCACCGCAGGCGCCGCAAAATGTGGTTTGTACCCTGCGCGTGGTCGCAGGTGGGCCGCCGGCTCTCCACCTCGAACGAATGCAAAAGATGCCCGCCGCAGGCGCCGAAAAATGTGGTTTATACCCTGAACGTGGTTTGGGTCGCGGGTTGGTCGCGAGTTGGTCACGGGGTGGGTCGCGGGCTCTCCACTTGGAAGGGATGCAAAAAAAACTCGCCGCAGGCGCCGCAAATGATGGTTTGTACCCTGAACGTGGTTTGGGTCGCGGGTGGGTCGCGGGTGGGTCGCGGGGTAGAGTCGCGGGTGGTCGCGGGTGGGTCGCGGGTGGGT